TGAGTTATATAAGTGCTGAAGACCCTACCTTAAGGTTGCTACTACTCATCCTCCCATGTCTTGGATGGGGCTGCCACTCTATATGAATTTGTTTGCTGTTAACCTAGGCAGCTCACTGTAGCAAAGAGCAAAAGGAAGGAAAAGAAACAAACTTTAAAGTTTCTTCTTGAATGCGGAGATGGAGGGATATGTGGGGAAAAAAACTAGGAAGCTTCCTATTAGGCCAAGCTCAATGGTAAGTAGAAAACTAGGTCTAATGTTATATTTGAAGCCAATCAAAAAGCTCAGTAACTGCTATTCAAGCAGTGCCACTGGGCTCTGACAGTGAATTCCATGCATAAGATCACCTGATACAAACTTCAGTGGACTTCGTCAAGAAGCTGAAACCACAGTGTCTTCTGGATGGCTCCATCTCACAGAAGAACCTGCTGTCTGGGCTTCCCAGTTTGCATTTCTGTGGGGCCCTTCTCAGAAGAGCACTGAACGTGTTATCTTAATCCCCATATACCCTACTTTGTTCACCATGGCTGTGGGTGCCATAACACGCCATAACACATGGCTACCCAGACCTGGAAACTATGAATGAAGTAAGAATTCCCCAATTCTGCGAATTCCCCAATTCTGCTTAGGTAAGTATACCTACTTAGGTAAATATTCCTTGTGATGTTCACCCTCTTCTGTATTAAGGTGTATGTGAGAAATCACTTGATGGACAAGGATGTTCAAAAGGTGTTTACATAGAAACCAAAAAGGACTCCTTTATACAAACTGAGTGTGTTTTCCCTGTTCTAACCATTGGCAGGGCTCCTTTTATTCAACCATGAAAAACAACAGATTTTGAAAACTTTTAAGGCCTATGAAATAGCAAATAAGAGAAAGACTTAAATGTCATATTAACCTGAGTTCAAGTTACAGATCCATCCATCGTCAGCTATGTAACCCTCAGTAAGTTACTTAACCTCTCCATCCTTACTTTTCTCCACTGTTGGAATAAGTGGAAAGTCTGGAGTTGACACCAGATCTGTCTTCAAAGCCTGTTCTTTTAACCACCACACTGGCCTGCTCCAGACACCTTAAATAGCACCTTGCATGGGGGAACTCACTATATCTCTGCAGGCTGATTGATTTATCTTCAGGTGTACCTCCCTTAATCAATGACAGCTAAAGCTAAACTCCAAGGCACAGGAGAAACAGCTTTCTTCACTAAGTTTTACACACGCTCAATAGTTGGGTCTGAAACAGAGGAGCATCCCCTTCAAAAAATGATGAGACTGATAAATATGTTCTGTTCACAGCACAGAAAACCACACTTCAGTGCAGAAGCCATACTTCAGGTTAACCAGTTGTCTCAAAATCAAATACGCCACCAAAGCAGGAAAGTCTACTGTTTTCAAAGATGAGACACAAAATTTTAGTTAAGGTATGAAATTTTAATTGGCTAGTTCAGCAAAATTTTATATTCTCCTGAGAGGGTAATAAGGCCTACGTATCTAAATATCTTGAGTTAGGAATTGCAGTTATTTTCCCATAGTATAGAAAGTTTTACAACACTTCTGAAAGCAGGGGTTTAGATCACCTGGCTAAGAGGTACCAGATAAGAACCATAAAGAAGAGGTTCAGCCTTAGTACAATCAATATTCATAGGAAGTATGGCAATCTAGAGACAGCATGACGTGACTAAGAACATTGAAATTCAAAACTATGTGTAGCCAAACAAAACACATCTGAAAGTTACATATGGCCCTTTCAGCAGAATTTGCAAATCCTACTTCAGAGAACAGGAGATAACGCCACTCCCTCCACTGCCCCTCAGAGTTACCCTACAAGCAAAATTGACAACAATTTTGAAGGCTGAGATAGCCTCTGCAAGTCAGGCTTCGGTGCTTTCTCTGTCAAGTCAGCCGTCCCCTGCTTGGCTTTTAAGTGGTGAGCCGTGTCCCACCCTACAGAGCCAGGCAGAGTCCTCTGTACTCTCAGACCACCAGGCTAATCTCTGTACTGTGCCATAGGCATGCTAGCCCCACATTCACTCCTACTACCATACTTGGCTCATCCTGTCCATGACCTCAAATGGCTTCACCCTTCCTAGGCCAAGCCCAATCTAACCTATCTTTGATTTTGTTCATTTGTGTGTGTGTGTGTTTATTTTTTCTAATCCATGCAAAGAGCACTGAAGAGGGATGAATGAACTCAAACTACTTTGGTGGGGGTAGGGAAGGCTTCACAGAGAGGTGCCTATGTGTGCAGGGTATAGAAGGAAGAATGAATGGCTGCCAAGTGGAGGAGTGGGGAAGACCATTCTAGGCAGAGGGAAGAGCATGTGCAAAGTCTTGAAAGAGTCCTGAAAGCCATGGCAGGCTTGTAGAGATAAGAGGCTGCAGAAGGCTATAGTCAGAAGGAGAACACACTTGTTTGCCTCACTGAGGTATACGACTTGATCCTGGAGACAAAAGGATCTGATTTTGGTCAAGGCCCCTAGTCAAGCCCATATCTTCCATGGAGTCTGCTCTTGCCATGCAAGTATCTCCTTCCTCCACATTCCTACAGCCCTTGACAACCTTGCCACACAATCAGGTGTTATTACTCACAGCTCTGAGGGCAGAAGCCTTTTATTTTTTTTTAACTTCTGTATCCTAAAAGCACCTAAGAATGTCAAGCAAGTAAATGCTCAGTAAGTTCCCAGGACTGATTGATTCAAATTCCTCTAGGGGGTGGATTAAGCAAACCAGGTTCTAGAGGTAAGAGTAGGGAAACCTCTAAATCAAAGTCGCTACAGACCTTACTGTTGGCCACAAGTGACAGGATCCAGGACAACAAAAGTTAACTTCAAAAGCAACCACCCTTGACTTCCATGAACTTGGACTCCTTTCTCTTTCTGTCCAGCTTTGCCCCGCTACCCAAGCTGAGATTCACTCCTACTCCCCCTGGGAATACTGGGCCAAAAGGGAAGGTACCAATACATCTCTGGTTCTGAACATACCCCATTAACTGGGAGGGCAGGGGACAATCAATGCATTGAGCAAATGCATCTGGCCCTGAAATGAGAGAGTGTGTCTGCTCCTGCGTGTAAATGCCAAGTTGCAGGAGGTTACCATAGCAACTCCAGCAGGGTGCTGCAGTGGGCAGCTTTGCACAGAGGTGCAGAAAAGCCATTCTTTAACATCTGGGCTTTTGCTGTGCACATTGGACCCTAGTAGCCACATCATGGCTTTAGGTCCTGCTTTGGGATTCTGCAAAAAAGGAACTGGAATTTTGAATACCTGTTAGTCCAATCTTCTTTTTTTTTTCATGTATCACACATGTCCCTCTTGATGCACAGTAAACACTGCATGTAGAGCCCAAAATAGGCTCTTTAGAAACATATAATTCCCTATACTCATTCTTACACATGACAATGAACAGATTGTACTTGCACATCAGCATGACTTGAACACAAAATTTACATCCACCGAATAACCCAGCAATTACACATTTTAATCAACAGCGTATCCACAATGTCAGCATTCCCAGCCAGTCCCCAGTTTTTATTGTGTTATTAGTACATTTTTAACGCAAAACTAAATAATGCCATCAAGGCTGTAGGTTGGGCTTAATGGGGTCTACTGAGCTGTTACTCCAGGAACTGTGAACCAACTTTTCAAAGGACCAGGCAATTTTTGAAATTGTTTTTCCATAGGGGCTGGAGAGTGGGGGTTTACTCATCCACTTCTTAATGTTTTATGTCTCATAAGGAAAGAGCATGAAGAGGATGTGAAATAGCATTCCATTTGTGGTTTCAACCTACATACGGCCAACAGGAAGCCATGTCCCTACAAAGTGAACTTTAGTTGGTCGGGCAGTCAATAGATGAAATAGCTTCCTGGACATTTTCACTTTTTTTTCTTGGATCTAGAAACTTACTTGTGGTTATATTTTAATTCTCTCCTGGGCAAAATAAGAATGATTTATAGCAGCAGTGAAGAAATGGATCGCATGGTGGGCGTGCACAGCAGGGTGAGATGGATCTGCACATGGAGAAGTGATGGAAATTTTGGTCAACAAGGTCACATGAACCTGTGGTACTTTGCAAGATGCTGGAGCAGGACTACAGTATCTTTGCAGCTTGGAAGTGAAAAAAGAGGGGTGGATTAGAAGTGATGTAGAAGTTCCAGTATCTGAAGGAGTTTTTGTGACCTAAGGAAATTAAAATAGGGATACCAAGAGACAGATGCAAATAAATAAACAAAGGAAGGAAGAGCTTCTGGGCCAGGGAGGCTATTCTTTGTGCAGGAATGCCTATCTGTCTAAGGGAGCTGGAGAACAAAGATGCCAGTGTTAACAGACTACAGTTGGATGATTTGTTCATCCAAGGAATTGGAGATGTGGAGGTGTCTGTAAGGAGGTGTCTGTTACATGTAAGCATGGAGGTAGGACTTGCCAGGATGGACACCAGGGGTGTAGGAAACTTCTGTTCTGAAAGAAGGCCAGAGAGTTTCAGCAACCTGGTGACAGAAAAAGAGCTCTCAGTGAGTGAATACTGGAGATTCAGCCAGTGCAATCTGGCCTGCACATACCTGGCTAGGTGGGTACTGGATACCTATTTCTAACTCCCCCAGGGGATGCTGTGGGTGGAGATGGGGGCCCAGGGAGTGTGAAGCAAAGAACTGAGCATGTGGCCTGGGAGTGGGAAAGGGGCTTCTGGGAGGTGAGCTGGGAACTGCCAAGAAGTGCGCTGTCAACGTGCTTCTGAATGAAAGCTGGGAGGTCAAGGCTGGGAAAGGTTTCAGAGAGACTCCTGCAACCTGTTCCTTTGGGGCAGGGCGGCTGAGGGGAGGTGGAAGGCCCAGCTTTGAGGCGCCAGTCTGCAAGTCGGTATGGAGAATGGTCTGGGAATGGGGCGGATCCAGGGAGGTAGGAGTGGGGGAGGGGAGGTCGCCGGCGAGTGGGTGTGGAGAGCGAGCCCGAGTGGGGGGGGGGGGTGAGGGCGCCGGGCCAGCGCCTCGACCTCCCCCGGGACTCACCCAGCACGAAGTAGGGCAGCTCCGTGTTCTCCAGGTCGTCCACCACGACCATTTCTCCCGGGAAGTCGTTGCGTACCGAGAAGAGGAGCTTGGGCTCGGAGGCCGAGGGGCTGTGCATGATACTCAGGTCGTTCTCGCGCAGGAAAGGCAGCGCCGACACCGTGATGCTCTTCAGCTTGCACTCCAGCTCCTTGGAAGGATCCACGTCGCCCGCGGCCGTGGCCAGCACCGCCGCCGGCCCCCAGCAGCAGGCGAGCAGGGCGCAGAGCCCGGCTAAAGCCATCTTGAGCCCCGGCCGCCTTCCTCCCAGCGCCGCGAAGGTGGGGGAGGCAGCGAGCGGGAGGGAGCGAGCGAGCGAGCGCGGGAGGCGGGGGACGTTGGGGAGGAGATGTGGAGCCGGGAAAGCTCTGGTCCTCGGAATGAGACGCCGCTAGCCTGGTGCAGGGCTTAAGCGCTGATGCCTGGAGAGCCCGCGCTCTTTGTTTCCGGGAGCTGCTTATCTGGGAAAGGGAAAAGAGGGGTGGGGGGAGGTGGGGAGTGGAGAAAAGGAGAAGGAAGGACGTCGGAGGAAAGAGGAAGGGAGCTGAAGATTCTAGGGAATCAGGTCAGTCCCCAGTAGGCTGCAGGTGCTGCAGCCTTTCTCCTCCTTTGCATCCCTCGGCAGGAGCACGCTCCTGGCTATAAACTACCTGCACAGCTTTTTTTTTTTTTTTTAACCGTTTTTGCAATGCAAAAAATTCCCTCTCGCATTATCTTCCAGATGCCTTGGGGAGGACACACACACACACACACACACACTCACGCACACCCCTTATAAGGTGCTTCCTCAGAGCAGGTGATGGGGGTCTCTAGATCCAAATACGCCCCCAGTTATTTTGTAGATGTAGGTGGTCCCAGTCTTCTTTACCCACTAAAATTGGATTTGTATATTGGATAAGCGTGTACTGGTATAAATGCACGTGTGTATTATTACTCAGCACTAACTTTGCAGAAATATTTAAAGGAAATATTCTGTATGTAGATATACATAGATGGTATGAATAACAAAGAACAGAGCCAGTGTACTGCATACAGTTAAGCAGGAGACCCGAACTTTTATTTGCAATTTCTCTCTGCCTCTTCAGTTTCATTTCTGTTACAAACGTTATCTATGATAAGCAATATAAAGATAATTTGGGGCATGCTATAATTGAGAGAAAAAGTAGAGCTAACTCAAAGAAATGTTAAGCTTTTAGTTTTTAGAGAATCCAGTAAACAGAACAGAGCTGGAAGAAAATTTGAGAAAAACAAAGTTTCTAAGCACCCTTAACAAATGGAAAAGGAATAAAAGAATATCCTTGGGCATGGGCCAAGTCAATCCCAGCCCAATCAAGAGTAGAGCAGGGTAGATAACAACAACAACATTAACAACAAAAACCCATGTAAATTTTCTTTCCATTAGTGCTGGACAGTGATACCTTAACAAAATAACGACAGTAAACTGTGATAGAAAAGTGATGTTTGTATGTGCTGGTATCTGATGATTAATTGAACTTTCACACGATAACCTATAACTTATTTCAAAAGTTTGCCAAAACTACACAACACTGTAGATCAACTATACTTCAATTTTAAAAAAGTTTGCCTCTCCAACATCATTTATTCAGTGCTGACTTAAATACTAGGTGCTGTAAGACTATGTTATAAATAACTCCTAATCTCTAGGAATTTAATGTACCACCCTCTTCAAAGTGGACCCCCACTTTAGAAACAATTTCATTCTCATCCTAGCTGGTGTCAATTTATTGGCAAATGTGAATGTATGTCCTTTAAAAGAATTTTAAAAAGCTTTTGCCATATATTTCACAAGGTTACTCTAGTTGATGAATGGGAATAGAGAAAATGAGGCATATTTAAGGTCATGTTTAAGGAGTGAAAGGCCTGCTTACCAGAAAAGAAAACAAAAATACTTCATTACAAGTTAAGTTTTTGTTTTTTTAATTTGACATATCTGAGAACTAACCCAGAGATATATTACCATGTAGCATTGCAAAGTACTGCAAAAACCATTTATCAGCTAATGACCTTTCTAAAACTCATCTTCATAGGAGATACTGCGGGAGAGAAAGACCCCATGATACTTTTTTTGTCTACTCTCTCTAGCATAAAAGAGCAGTATTAACTTAGTTACTCAAGGTTTACCATTGAAAAATCAGAGCGGATAACAAGAAAATACACTTAGCCTTAGAATGTGAGAAATGGCACGAAACTACCAGATCATCTATTAGTCCAGTCTCTCATTTAACAGATGAGGAAGTTGAGGACAGTGAAATACTGAGGTGTTTTACCCAAGATCAGTATGCCAAGAAGGGGTGGGGGAGCTAAGGCCACAAACAAGATTTCTTTGCCTAGGGCTTTCTCCACTACACAGTTATGGGACATCTAGGTGTACCCATGGATAGTCGTTGGACTTAATGGCCCCCAGTAATTCATTCAGTAAACATCTGCATACCTACCATATGCTAAGCATCAGCAGATAGACTGAGCATCAGCAGATTCTAGGAAAAATATTGTTCCTGCTTTTGAGTAGCATATAATCTACTATTGTTTTGAAATCATTCTCCCCAATTTTCTGATGTGTCTTGAGTCATTTTAGAAAACCCGAGTGAACCATTTGATGTTGATTTTCTAATAAGTCAATATCTACTTTGCTTATCTGTAGTCATTTTTACATGCTTATATTTTTACCTGCTTTCTTATTCACAGTTACAAGAAAAAGAGTACATGGATCAAATGTCCATTTAAAAGTGTATATTGAGGCTCCCCTGGTGATGCAATGGTTAAGAATCCGCCTGCCATTACAGGGGACACAGGGTTCGAGCCCTGGTCTGGGAAGATCCCACATGCCGCGGAGAAACTAAGCCCAAGGGGCACAACTACTGAGCCTATGCTCTAGAGCCCGCGAGCCACAACTACTGAGCTTGCGTGCCACAACTACTGAAGCCCGCGCGCCACAACTACTGAAGCCCGCGCACCTAGAGCCTGTGCTTCACAACAAGAGAAGCCACCGCAACGAGAAGCCCGCGCACCACAAGGAAGAGTAGCCCCTGCTCGCCGCAACTAGAGAAAGCCCGTGCACAGCAACGAAGACCCAATGCAGCCAAAAATAAATAAATAAATATTTTTTTAAGTATATATATATATATGTTGATATGATCAAGTTACTTTAAAAAAAGTGTATACTGAGTTGGAAAGACTTGGAATTGGTGTCTCAAGCCTTTAAAGACCTCCTTCTCTGTGAAAGTGTCGAGCAAGAAGACTATGCAAATAAAAAGAGATAATATATTGTCAGGGCACTGGATTCCTGTAAACATGCATACACTGTCACATGGTCTTCTTTTAGGGAATTAAGTACCTAGAGATGGGGGATAGAGTGAAGTTCACAGAAACTAGACCATCTATTCTGTACAATGTTTTACATTTAAATGGGGCTGGGAGAAATTTGTGTGCAGCTACATAATTACCTTTCTGTACAGGCAACATGATGTGGTGAGACAACAGACTTGGAGTCAAGTCTCAACTCCATAATTTACTTATTTGGAGATGAGCCTGGACCATTCTTACCTTCATTGTCCCCCTCAATAAAATGGGGCCAGTGATCTCTGCCCATCGCACAGGCCACAGATAATATAAGTACAAGTACTTATACTTGTTTTCTCCTGAGGTCCAAATTCCTATATTCCGGTACCAACAGCCTTGCTCCTTGACCCTTATAATAGCTTGTGAATGCTTTCCCTGCTATTAACCTGTTCTTTAGACAACTACCAGATTGATCTTCGTGAAATCTTGCTTTCCTCGTGCCATTCTAAAGTTTTTCTTTTCCTACAGGATAAAGTTCGAACACCATAGTTTCGAAATTCAAACCTTCTTCCAAGTTTCATACGATTTATTCTCTTAGCTGTATTGCTTACTACACTATCCCCTTCCCCTCCCCCAACAACACACATACACATCCCCATCGAATTAAAGCCCGTTCTCCATTTTCACTCCTCCCACGCCATTCTGTCCACCTGGAACGCACCACTCTGTTCTCCAGATTGTCCCTCCTCTGCAGGCAAATCTCAGGCCTTATCTATGTAGTGAGAACTTCCATCACTCCCTTCTCTCATAACTCCTCTCACAGATCCCTTACACACACACACACACACACACACACACACACACACACGCACACCCCACATTAGGAGGCCAAGGGTCATATCCCAATACAGTCTCTTGCATTCAACATTCTTATTAAAAAAATAGAAACAATAATACATGCTTTTTAGAATAGGTGTGAGAAGGAAATGAGAGTATGTATATAAAGAATTTAACATTTTAGGCGTTAGTTGGTGCTCAGTAGTGATATTTTGCCACTATCTGCTCTTCAATTATTTCAGAAAGAAAATAGGCTTCTTTTTTTTTTTTTTTTTTTTTTTTTGCGGTACGCGGGCCTCTCACTGTTGCGCCCTCTCCCCGTTGCGGAGCACAGGCTCCAGACGCGCAGGCCCAGCGGCCATGGCTTATGGGCCCAGCCGCTCCTCGGCATGTGGCATCTTCCCGGACCGGGGCACGAACCCACGTCTCCTGCATCAGCAGGCGGACTCAACCACTGCGCCACCAGGGAAGGCCAAAAATAGGCTTCTTTCATGAGATTTTTTTTCCCATGTAGTAGCCAAAAGCAAACTAAATGATTTATGATCTTTGGCGTATATCCAGGATAAATGATTGTATATATCCATCAAAAGAATGAAGATCATTCATAGCAGGTTTATTCATAATAGACAAAAATGGAAGGAACCCAAATATGCATCAATGGGAGAATGGGTAAATAGCATTTAGTCATGTGACGGAATACTACACAGCAGTAAAATAATAAACATGCAACTACGTGGGTGAATCTCGCAGACATAATAAGTGAATGAAACCAGACACAGAAGAGTGTATCCTATAAGAGTCTACATTTATGAACTTCAAGACCAGGTAACATTAATCTTTGGTGCTAGAAGTCAGAATAGTGGTTATCTGTATGAGGAGGGGAGTTTTGACTGAGAATGTCAGGACGAGCTTCCCGGAAATGCTGTGGGTGGTGGCCACATGGATGCATATTTAGGCAAAAATTTATCAAACTGTACACTTGTGGAATTTTGTGATGTCTATTATACCTCAATAAAGTGTTTTTTACATGGCTTAGGACTCCATAGGAGAAGAAAGCAGAGGCAAGTTTTTCTTTTTACAAGTTGTTTTCTTGTTTCCCAACTCTATACCCCCTTTACTTCTCCTTTAGAGGTTTTGGAAATTTTATCTTTCTTTCCATCGAGATTGGTAATCATTTATTCAACTACTCATTTCATTTACCCACTCCTTTCTACTATTTTTATGAGAGTCTCAACACTTGGCATCTTGTCATCTGGAACAAGTTCAGGGGGCCTCTGTCTCTAGGAAGCACAGGAGTAAATAACTCAGGAGTTGGACAGCGGCAGATTTAGACTTTCACTGGATACTATTTTACTTAGTAAAATATTATTATATTTTACTTAGATATTTTATCCTGAGGACTATTCTCTGACATGTTTTGTTAGCTTAGGCAAACAGATACCTACAGTATGGAGAGGTAAGTTCAAACCTATATAAGATACAGAGGAGGGAATGGAGGTGAAAGAGATGGGTGGGGCTCAGGGTGTATACATGAGGAATATTTCTAATTTTCCCCATTTATTCAGAACATCTGGCTCCCTGATGCTTTTTAGATAATCCTGATGTATATACTATTTTGGCATTCATTAAGCCTCTGCATACTTTTCTTTTTCCTAGTTCCTTACAAAAGTAATCTTTAATGTTGCTCTCTATTTTTAAAATAAACTAAATTGAAACACTTCTCTCTCTTTTTGACTCTGTATTTTCCTCTCCATATTTCCCCCATCGTAGAAGTTAGTATGAACCCGTCACATTCCTTTGCCAGCTCCCACCCCCAGCTCTTCTGTTGAATTGGATTCTTTCTTCAACTATTACTCTCCCATGCTCTGCCAAAATTTAGTGTAGTATGCTAGTTAGCTGGACATAATTCAGTTTCGCATCCTCATTAGGACATTAAGAATATATTTCACACTCTTTGATTCAAAGTTAATATTTTCTTTCTTTACTCTTTCCTCCCCACCTCCCCATCTCTCCCTGTCTCTATCTCTGTCTCTTTCTTTCTTCCTCTTTCTCTCTCTCCTCTCAATTCACAGGCTCAGCAAACAGCACCTGCTTCACAGAAACAAGGCTGTTCCTGTTCTGATTTCTCTAGTCTTCCTTCAAAAACCAAGTGGAGATTCACAATCCCTCTTCCTGATACACACTGAAGTGAAAGGAGGCATGCAGGAGGAAAACACCACAGGCAAAACAATTCACTCTTTTGGAAGCAGGACAATTTTTTCCCCCTAAATTTCTCCCCAGAAACCTGAACCTGAAGTTCTTCTCTTTGCCTTTGTCTTTACAATCCTGGTTTGGGGACAGAATGTTTCTTGATCTAGCTGTTCAGAGTATCTAAATCTGTTTCTCTCTGTACTCACTGAGTCCCTGCCATCTTTTGCCTCTCTCTCCTGTATCTCTGGGGTGTGTGTGTGTGTGTGTGTGTGTGTGAGAGAGAGAGAGAGAGAGAGAGAGAGAGAGAGAGAGAGAGAGGGAGGGAGGGAGGGAGGGAGGGAGGGAGACAGAGAGTATGCTGTGAGATAAGTATTCTCACCTGGGGACTCATTTCTAATTAAGTAATTCAGGACCAAGACCAAGAGGCTAAAATGCACAAAACAGAATAAAACCTCAGATTAGAAGGAAAATGGCTCAAATGGGTCCCTATCTCTGCTAGTTCTAGTTAAGCAAGCAAACAAAATGGTCTGGGACAAATGATTATCTTAGGAAGATTAGAAGAAAATGTAATTAGCTCCCAAGTTTCTTCCTGTTTCCTCAGCCTTCTTCCAGTCTCCAACTCCCCAGTCGTGAATTTATCCAAGCCTCCCTTATCCACACCAAAAGAAGTCCCTACTGCAAAGCTGGGAGGGTTAACAGAGCTGGTAGCCCCGCCAGCCAGCTAACCAAAGGAGACAGCCGGTGAGGCCCCGAGCCCGCCCCCAGCCGAGCCGCCCAGCCAATGGGAGCTTGTGGGGAGTGTGGCGCTGCGTCCCATTGGCTGCCTACCTAAGTGCATAAGAAAGAAAGAGAGAGGCAGGCAGGGGAGCATTGTTATCTTAAGACGCTCAGCTGGTGTCTGAGTCTGCAGGTGAAACTGCCTAGGTACGGAGCTCGGAGTCGGAGCAGAGACACGCCGGGCTGCAGCCTGGGATGGAATCCGCTCGCCTCGGAAGCTGCTCTGCCCGCGGCTGCTCGGGCAGCCCGTTCGCTAAGCTCGGAGGATCCTGTTAGCACTTGCCCAGGGATGTGCACCTGCCGTGCGCGGCGAGCGCCTGGGCAGGTCTGCAGGCATACGAGGGAGCGGTGAAGCAGGAGGAACTGTCTCTACCCATGTGCAAGGCAGTGATTCCGGGAGAGAGACAGGGTGAGTGAGTCTCTTTAGAGTTGGAAGGAAGGCACGATCTTGGTTTTCTCTTCGGAGGAGGGACAGAGGATTCCCCGGGTCGGGTTTGGTACTTTCCTTCCCTCTCCACCCGCGTGCGCCCCGGCCCAGCATCGAAGCCCCACTTCAAACATGCTGTGGGTGCCGGGCATCCTTGCTGCTCAGCTGGAAGGCAGCAGGCAAGTGGTCTGACGGCGGCGGCGGCGGCAGCGGCAGCAGCAGCAGCAGCAAAGCGGGTAGCAAGGAATTTGAAAAGAGACATCGACTCCCTTTCACACGCTGAGGGGGAGGCATTCACGTTTCCCCAAATGAGAAGGAGCCACGAGAAATCATGAAGTAAAAACTTTGGAAAGCTGCCACTGGAGATGTTGCACAAAATCCTGGAATCTTTCAGGAGTCTCCTCCCAATCGGTGGAGGTTTGGGGAGCAGCTGATACAGCAAGGAGGGCTCTTGCAAGGATTCAAGGTAACAGTGCAGGGTTTTGGTAGTTTTTCTCCATTCCCTTTTCGTTATATTTTTGGTGTGTCTCTTGGTAAGGGGATCGTTTTGCCCTCCTGCAACCCTCTTGCCCTGGTGTCTGGCAGTTTCAGGCAGAGGGAATGATCCCCACCTCTTAGTTTCTGTCTTGTGGAGCTGAGCAGTGGACTTTGGGGTTTAGCTAGAGATCGTCCTATTATTGCCTCCTGGTGTTGCACGGCTGCCGCACGACTTGGGCACTCTGCCTGACCTATATTGCTTTTGCCTGGTTTAAGTCCTCAAAGTTAGTGCAACTCCCATTAGCTTCAGAAAATCCAATCGGACTGCATAATTGCAGAAGATGACAAGGACTTCTGCATGCCCAGCAGATGCTGGACTGAACTGTACACGGTTCACTATGTTTGGGATGGAGGTTGTGATACATGATAACACATGTTCACAGGTATTCACATGTTCCTAGAGCTATATTCACATGTCCATAGAGCTCCCTGGTATGTCTCTAGAGGCCTGTCTCTTTCTCCCATGCACATGCAACCAAGAAAAAAAAAAAAAACAGATTGAAGAGTGAACCCCTGTGGGTTGCAAATAGTCTCCCCGGGTGGTGGCAGAAACCCCATTGATTGAGTTGAACCTGGCAGTGCGCTGGAGGCACTGGGGAGAGCATTGCTGTGCTGGAAGGAGGGGCACACTGAGATTATCTGGTGATCTCTCTCTCTCCCCGGTTCTGTGATCAGCTGGGTACACAGTCTAATGCTGCCTATGGTATGTGTGTGTGTATATATATGTGTGTGCCTGTGCTCACAGCTGTATGCAGGAAGCAGGCTGCCGCTAGAAGAAGCATGCTTGTGCAGCTCTCTGCCCAGGCCCCAGATGCCTGGAGTGTTCCTTCCTAGTAGAAATATGAACTTGGGAGCTGCTCTTCCAGCCCAGAGGAGTTTTCTCCTCACCAAGTAGTCCCCCTGCATGGTACATATTTATCCAGAGTATATAGACCTAAGCCAAATATGAACTAATAATCAAGCTAATGTGCTGTAACATGATTGCACAGACGCCTCCATAAAGAACTGTGTGTGTGCTCTTCCTAGCTCTGGGAGTCAGGTGTCCCGAGCAGGAGCAAATGTTTTGTTAAAAGGATAGCAATTATAACAAGCCAGGCTTCTAGCTGCGTAATCTGAGCCTTATCCAGCAGGGACAATGATATGTCAGCACAGAGCAATCTGGAGGATAAAAGGTATAGTGTAAGTCAAGTATTTCTGCCTCTGTCCTTCTCCAGACATGTGCATGTGGAAGGGACACTCTTTCTGACCATGCCTCCTGGAATACAGGGCAATGCCAGCATTAACCAAGCAGCTAAAGTATTTTACAAAATCCCCTGGGGGGCAGTCTGATGACATCAGGCAACAGCAAAGTGATATTCGAGTTTGTGTGTTTTCCCTCTTGACTTCCCACAGTTATGTGTATGTTATTTGTTTAAGGCAGGACCCTCTGGAGTTCCCTCCCATCCAGAATAAGTTGCTTTGCAGCACCGGGGGCATGACCAAGCAATGCTGACACAATGACCCTGAAATCTTATCAATATCATAGCTGTTGCTATACATATATATACATTCTTTTTAGCTGCTGCCTACTGTGGGGAAAGATGCATGCTTTGCTTCTTTGAGGAGCGATATGATTTGAGCTGGTACAGAGCCTGGATACTGTGAAATGTTTGAGGGAAAGGAAGCAAATGTCAGACCATGGTCTTCCCTGTTGGAGGGCAACTGGCACCAAAGGGTTTAACAGCTATTCTGCAGCCATGGAGAAGACAGAAGCATCCCTGACTCTTGCTTCTCCCTCCTCACCAAAAATGGGGCTGGCTTTATCTCCCAGAATGGAGTGCTGTGTGCTGCAGTATGGCCACAAGAAAGGAGAAAAGGAGGGAAGGGCTGGGGAGGGAGGAGGGTTCCTGCTCCGCTAGCATTGGGCCAGACTCATGGGTGGGGAGCATCTTCCCCATTTAGGCCCTTAAGATCATCCTCTGGGTTTTCCCTTCTGGCCTCCTAACAGGTTGTTTACTGAGAAAGGCCAGAGGGCAAAGAACATCCCTGCATCATCCACTCCTTCCGATGCCCTTTCCCAAGACACAGGCCAGCCACTGGGGAGTGTCGCACCAAAAACATCCCCTCTGAGACAGTGCTCCAAAGTCCCTCCCCAGCTCACAAACAAGAGGTAATCAGAAGGGACTGGAGACATCTGCGTGGGCACTTTCTGCTGAGTGGGATGCTTAGTGTTGAGAGTTCCCACTCAGTGTTTTGTTTTCCCCACTGTGCTGTGTATTTTTGGTGATTCAACTCTTTCTCTTAGATAATAAGACCTTGTATACATTTTATAATTGCATACTCTTCCAAAGGGTTGGGAGCATTTTAGGGAGCTCATCTCATTAATCCTCACAGGCCTTATAGCCTCCTTTATCTTTGATTACCCTAAGAAGGAGACGAGAATGAGTTTAGCCTCCTTCTTGGAAAAAGGAGGGCAGAGGACCTTGGAAAGATTAACTGTTTTACTCTGGGTCACACAGCAATGAAGGGAACCTATGGAGTAGGGTGTGGGTCTCATCATTCCCAAACCAACCCCAGACTCTCCTGATTCCTCCTAAGGAATGGGTTAATCTTAGTAACTGTGATTTGATTCAGCTGTTCTGTACTTGACAGGAATGGGAGGTTGCAGTGACACAGGCTTTGCCTCTGGCTCTGACCTAAGGGCTGTGAGGGATAAAAGTCTTATAAGACTTTGTCTTTGCCCTCAATGATCTTACATTCTAGTTAGGAAAATAGGCTTACATCTGGGAAAAAGGTAAATGACAACATACATTCTAAACAGCAGTTCAATACAAGAGACTCTTGAGGCGGACCTAATTAATCTACAGTTGATTTACACAGATAATGAGAGCTATCAGTATTCCAAGGAAGGAGAATTAGAGTTGTGCCATGGGGGATAGGGTGGGATTTGTTTGGAGAGGGAGAAATGGGAAAAAGATTCCAGCTGACAGAGAGGCTAACTGCAGCACAGCTGAGAAGGCTGGAAACTTCAAGGCTTGCATGTTTCTGTGGGGTTTGCCCTAAGCCACTGCTCCACTTGGATCCTGGAAACAGCTTACACCTGGGTTAATTACGTGAAGCAGGGATTGGCCTAGAGGAAGCTGCCCTCAGATCAGGCAGAGGGCTTTGAAATGTTGGACATCTCATTAGGCACCGAAAATTACCTAAGCCTTCTATCCACCCTCAAGCCTAATCCATATATTATGGGAAAAACAGTGCTCAAGGTCAGGGAGCTTAACAACATATCAAAATTTTTGGAGAAAGATATTGGGGGAAAGTAGGCAAATTTCAAGAGAACGCGAGAAAATCTTCTCATATATTTTTTTTAGACTCAGAATCTCCTAAGAGAGAGCCTTGATTTCCCTTCATTTCCTGTTTCCCCACCCAAATATCCCTATTGGGGTTTACATGGACCAGCAAAATGCCAAAGCCCTCAGGCATTTAGCATTGAGGAGAAGATTTTCAGTCTTAAGATTCTTGGCGTGCCCATGTACAAAACCTCTCATCTCCCCTCCTTTTCCTTTTTAATAAAACATACGCTGTAGCAGTCACAAAGGAGGAGACCACAAAAGCAGAAGGGGTGGGCGCGGTATTGCCCGCAGCTGTACCATGAGGTACTCTGATTGCTCAGCTGAACAGCAGAGCGGGGAGATAGTCTGCCAGCCTGGGCAGTACCAAGGGAGGACCAAGGGCTGCATGGCATCAGGAGAGGGCTTTGACTGGTCAGCCACACACCTTTGCTCCAACAGTGAGCCTTGTTTCCCAGAGAAAAGGTCAAGGGAAAGCATAGGTCCTGTGAGAGGACTGGTGTAACCCTATTCCTTGGTCTTCACTTGATTTGAGACATCTATTCACTCTACCTGTCATTGCTTGCTTCGGTGGCCCCTTCTGACATGGACAAAATTCTGGTGGGGCACGAAGAGTGAAATGACTTGCCTAAAGTCATGCCATCATTGCTCTCAGGTCAAGAGGAAAATCCCTAAGAACATAGTCTGTTTGGTTGCTTCGCCCCCGGAGTTCATTCTGGGGACAAGTCCTGAGGGATACGGATTTTCTCTTGAAAATTCTCCCCAGGCCTTGTTGTCACCTTTGTTTCCTGTGTTAGATGACCCTGCAGCTGGTGGGTGGGACTGAAGCCTTTTTTCTTTATTATTCACAAGTATCTGCTGCCACGTTTGGGGGCTAAGGTAGAGGTCCAGGCCCACGGGCGTGTGGCTAGTGATTGTACGCTAAAGCCTCTTCCATTTGGGAGTGAAGAGAGAGGCAGCTCAGTTATACTTCAGACTATGGGCAGCGGTAGATGGGTTTCATCTGATCTCTCTGGAAACTGTCACTCTGCCATGCAGATGGAAGTAAAGTTGAGGAACATCATTATAGCATGGAATCCTCAACAGCCAGTTCCATCATTCCTTTTACTGAAGCTCACATGAAATGCAAATATATCTGGGATGCTGGATTGAGCGAAGGGTGGGCAATCGGATACCTCATGGGACTGAGCGCTGCCCCACACTGTGCTATTCATATGGTGGCCACTGGCTACACGTAGCTCTTGGAGCACTTGGATTGCATGTTGTCAGTGTAAAAATACACACTGAATTTTGAAGACTTGGCTTGAAGGATAAGAATGTCAAATATCTCAGCACTGCTTCTTTTAATATTGATGACACGTTAAAATGATAATATTCTGGATATATTGGGTTAAATAAAATATATTAAGATTAGTTTTACCCATTTCCTTTTACTTTCTAATGTGGCTATCAGAAAAGTTAAAATTATATATGTGGCTCTCATTCTATTTCTTTTGGGCAGTGCTGGTCTAATCCTGCAGAGTAGTGACAGAGAATGTGGAGAAAGGACAGAGGCTGGAAACAAGAGGAGCCAGAAATATAAAAAGAGAGAACATGGAGGGAG